CGGGGACCCCGCGCTCACCGTGACGAGCACGCAGTGCAGGTCTGCGGGCGGGTCGGGGCCCGCGGCGGGCAGCAGCAGCTGCGCCAGGCGAGCCGGGTTGCTGACGCGCAGGATGTTGATGTCGTTCTCGCAGCAGAAGGCCCGCAGCAGAGTGAAGTGGATCTGCAGCGCCGCGTCCCCCGCYTCCTCCTCCTCGGCCGCCAGCAGGCACAGCACCACGTTATCGGGGTCCCTGCGGGGCACCGCCGTCACCGCGGGCGCACCGGGCAGGGGGGCGCGGGGGGTACGGGGGGGACACTCACACGTTGAGCAGCTTGGCCGCCTCGTAGACGCCGAGGGTGAGGCTCCGCTGGCTCAGCGCCTTGCTCAGCACCTCCTCGAGCGCGTCCCCCGCCTGCTCCATCCTGCGCCGGGACACGCGGCACCGGCCGTCACCGGCCACCCCGCGCCGCTCCCGCCCGGCCTCCCGCCGCCCCCCCCGCCTCACCTCCCGGCGGCGCGGCGCTCCCCGGGCAGCTCCTCCAGAGTCATCACGGGGACAGGGCCGGACAGAGGGCACGGACAGACGGACAGACACCGGACACGGGACTCGGCCGCGCTCCGGCCGCTCCGGCCCCGCCGCCTGTGCCGGACAAAGGCGCCCCGCGCGCGCTACCCCCGCCCGCCCCGGCCAAACCACGCCCTCCTCATTTGCATACCCMGCTCCCATTGGCTCATGCAAATGAGGCCCCGCCCCCGCGCTCCCCGGACCGGCCGGGCCTGACCCCGCTGGGAGCGATGGGAACGGGGACAGGGAGGGACAGGGACAGGGACACGGACACCTGCCAGGRACCAGGCTGCTCCAAACCCTGTCCAGCCCGGCCTGGGACACTGCCAGGGATCCAGGGGCAGCCACAGCTGAAACAGGGCCTGCCCATCTTCCCAGCAGGAATTCCTGCCCAAAACCCCATCTAAACCTTTCTTTCTGTGTGACCCCATTCCCTGTGTCCTGTCCCTCCATCCCTTGTCCCCAGTCCCTCTCCAGCTCTCCTGGAGCCCCTTCAGGCCCAAAAAGGGGCTCTGAGCTCTYCCTGGATCCTTCTCCTCTCCAGGTGAGCACTCTCAGCTCTCCCAGCCCGGCTCCAGAGGGGCTCCAGCCCTTCAGCAGCTCCGTGGTTTCCCCTGGTCTGTGTCCAGCAGCTCCACATCCCTGTGATGTTGTTCCTCAGGGCTGGGGCAGCTCTGCGGSCTGCGTGGGGCAGAGGGGCAGAATCCCCCCTCGATGGATGCAGTTCCAGGGGTCACCCTCCTGCACTGCTCCTGCCACAGCAGCTCCAAACACAGGGACAATGTTTGCTGCACAGAAGAACGCTGCTGCTCCATCCCTGGCAGGCTGGACGGGGCTTGGAGCACCCTGGGACAGTGGAAGATGTTCCTGCCATGACAGGGGTGGAACTGGGTGATTTTTAAGGTTCCTCCAACTCAAACCAGTCCGTGGCTCTGTGATCTCACCCTCTGCAGGTTTCCAAGAACTTGATGCTTCTCCGGGAGTTTGCTCCTGCTCCAGATGTGCCGTGTCAGCCCTGCAGCCCTCGGGGAGGGCTTCTCCTGACCTTGCTGTGTCAAAGCTTTCTCAGCTGTTGCACCCCAGCCCCTCCATCCTCCCCCAGCCGCTGCCAGAGCTCTTTCCCAACCGGGCTGGGGGCTGGCATTTTCTGCTGGCTGCAGGGAGCAGGGCTGCAGTCGGGATCCTTGGTGGTCCCTCACAGAGATTTTGGCAGCGTGTGCTTTCAAGTTTTGCTTGTGTCAGTGTTTTCCCCCTGCTCCTAAACACCAGGAGCCGTTTTYTGCAGCCGTGTTTGCCAAAGCATGATGGGCAGGGAGTGATGCTGWGCTGCCCTCCTGCAGAATCACTGATTTGGCCTTTTGGGAAATGAGCTGTCATAGAATCACAGAATGCTGGGATGGTTTGGGTTGGAAGGAACMTTTGGGATCRTTTTGTTTCACCCCACACCATGGCAGRGGCACCTTCCACTGGATCAGGTCACCCCAAGCCCTGTCCAACCTGGCTTTGAGCAATTCCAGGGCGTATGAAACCATTCCTGCAGCAGAATTCAGAGGGTGATTTCAGCACCCTTCAGTAGTGTTGGCTCCAGGAGGAAACCTCCCTCCAGGAGTTTGTTCTGCAAGAGTCCCCTGTCCCACTGCTGCAGCCTGATGAGACCCGACATGACTTAACAAAGCCCACGGCGTCGGGAGAAAGGAAAAAAAGCCCTTTTTGCATCAGGTGGAGGGGTGGCAGATGGCCGGACCGCAGCAAAACAGGTGGGAGCATTGTGTGGTGACCCTCCGAATTAAGTTCGCTTAATTTGCTGTATCTCTATTAGCAACTGCAGGCTCCGGCCCCGCGGCGAGCGCTCCGCCTGTGGCTCCGGCCCCGCAGCCCCATCTGTGCCGGCCCCAGAGCTAAATCTGTCTCGGAGGCAGCTGGGAAGCAGCTGAAGCCTCCTTTCTCCCTCCGGGGCCGCAGCAGCTCCCAGACAAGGCAGGCAATGATCCAAAACCGCTCTTTCCCGCAGGATTCCCGGCTGGGCGCCACTTTCCCGTCTCTCCTTTTCCCAGAGGAGCAGCAAGGATGCTCGGGAGGTGCCTGGGTGTCCCCTGCGGGGACAGGGGTGGCCGTGCCGGGGATGTGCCGTGGCTGCCGGCCCGGGATGGAGCCGGACCCGCAGTTGTCCCCCCGTCAGCTCCCAGCTGGCAGCTGCTGCTAAACCTCCCTTTCATCGCCTGCCAAAAGCGGCCGGGGTGTTTCTCTCCCCCCTGCCCTTTAATCCTGACTTTCATCATTCACCGGACCGTGCCTGCCCTCCTCGTCCGGCTCGGGCTCAGCCGGGGGCTCGGGCTCAGCGGAGGGGCTCAGCTCCTCCCCCTCACCCCAAATGTTCCCTGGGGCTGTGGGGTTTGATTTTCCGTGGCTGGAGGCAGCTTGGCGAGCAGCGGGTTAACTGCATCCCCAGGGATGTGGGAGCTGCCCAGCGGAGCCCTGGATGGGAGCTGCCGCTGGGGGAGGACTYCAGGGCCAGCTGGAGAGGTGTTTCCCGCACGTAAGAGCATCAAGTCGTTTAATTTCTGTTTTTGGGAATCAGACCAACCATCAAACWGCGTCAGTGAGAGGTGACAAAGCCTGGTCCCTGCCGGAGCCGCCGGCAGCCGGCCAAGCCCCTTCCCGGGGGCTGTGCCCGGGTGGTCCCGGCCCCTGAGCCCCACAGAGCGGTGCCGGGGTTTTCTGCTCCCTCTGCCCTTGGCTCCCTGCTTTCCCTTCTTTGGGTATCCCTGACCCGCTCCCTCCTCTCCCTGCCTTCCCCTGTCCCATGTGGGACCTTTGTCCACCCCCACTGGCCCACTGACTATCTGTGTCCATTTGTGGGGACACCCCCCCGGTCCCCTGGGCAGCCCAGCGCTCCGGCCATGCAGTGCCAGGGCCACCGAGTGTCCCCAGTCCCCTCTGGCTGTGCCGGAGACCGAGGGCAGCGAGCGCAAAGCAAAGCAAACGCCAGCTTGCACATTCCAGGGGCGGCCTCTCAGCGCTCGCAGCGGCACCGGTTCCGTGTCACCGAGCTGACCCCGGTGCCCCGCTCGCTGCTCTGTCCCCTTTCCACCTCCCAGGAGCGGGACACCCCGCCCCGGAGCCTGCAGGAGCGGGTCCCCCGGACTCTGACACCCAGGAAACTTTGGCTTTGCCTTCCTGTGGAGCGGAGCAGGAGCCTGGGGTTGCCCCGGCTTCCCTGGCACCATCAGTGCGAGCCCCTGGATGGGCACAGAGTGCCACGTTCCCTCCAGCACTGGCAGCTCAAAAAGACATTTCCCCCCTGTTTTCCCTTGGAGTTTCTCCATCCCTGCTGGAACTAAGAGCGGGGTTCAGCTGGAGTCACCCCGGCTGGTGTGACTTTGGGTTTGACTTTGGCCAGACCTGGAGTGCACAGGGCAGCCGGGAAGTCTGGACGCGGCTGGGTTTGGCTCTGGGGTTGGGCACGGTGCCAGCAGCTTTCCCAACACCCGGGTCACGGGAGTGCAGCCCGGAGCCSCGCTCGGTGGCACGGAGCAGGACCGGGACTTCCCTGGCACAGACCTTCCCTTTCTGCCTGCCCAGCTCCTGTGCAGGCTCCTGACCGGGGTTACCTGTCCCAAAGGAGGGAGGGCAGCGGGCTGGGGGACCCGGGGTGTGTTTATCCCATCGCATTTGCCAGCACTCAGCACATTCCTGCGGCTCTCCGTGGCGCTGCAACATCGCTGGGAGGGAGCCGGCTCTCCCCGGCTGCAGCACTCCGGGGCTCGGCAGCAGAACTCTGCAAACAGAGAGCACAAGTGGGAGCCCGGGAGTGCTGCAGTGGCTTTCAGATGAAGGAGGGGAGATGGAGATTAGAGATTAGGAGGAAATTCTTGGTTCTGAGGGTGGCGAGGCCCTGGCAGCTGTGGCTGCTCCGTTCCTGGCAGYGCCCAAAGCTGGGTTGGGTTTGGAGCAGCCTGGGACAGTGGAAGTGGAACTGCCTGAGCTCTATTGTCCCTTGCAGCCCAAACCGTTCCAGGATTCCATGATTTTACCCTCACCCATGTCCCACCACCCCTGGGAGCTGCTGGAATTTCTTTTCCTTGCTGTCCCCGCAGTCCCTGCTCAGCTTCCAGCAGCTCCCTGTGAGTTCAGAGCAGCAGAGCCTGTGCTGCTGCTGGCAGTGCCATTCCCCGTGCCAGCTGTGAGTTCAGGGCAGCAGAGCCTGTGCTGCTGCTGGCAGTGCCATTC